GCCGAGTGTACAGTTTAGTCATGTCTACCTGAGCTAGTCAATACCCCCTTTGCATCCACGTCCCCTTCGTTGCGACACCCACACCGATTCGCAGAGACTTAAACCACAAATGGTAATGCCAGAAAGAAACTTAAATTTCAATTCATATTAATCAAAGTGTATTCGCAAAAACAAAAACAAAAATCAAATATATCCAAATTTTTTTCTTCTTAAACTTTTTAGAGCAAAAAAAAAATATCTCAAATTCATTCACGTTTAAAATATATCAGGATATCAAAGTAATTTTTCACTATTAATTTTCCCTTTTTTTACCGATAGCCCAATATAAAAATTTACAAATCTGTACAAATGTACCAATCGAGTGACACTGCCTTAAAAATTTATGCAATTAAAAAAAAAAATATTCTACAAATTTCGAGTTTTTTAATTAAATTCTGAGTATGAATTTTAGAAGAATAAAGTACACGTTTCAAATGGCTAAAAAAAAACGTCGACAACAACAAGTAACATCCAAATTGTATATTTCTCTTTATTATCTGAAAATTTGGATAAACAAGAGCCTAATAACATTAAAAAACAATATCGCAGTGTGGTAGTTTTTGCAAATTTTATATATAAAAATTGAATATAGCGAGTTTTGAAACAGTAACTTTTACATAGCTATTTTAGCTTTTCGCATTCGCTCTTCCATGAAGATCGAAGTTCATGAGAAGACGGAGACTTTTGAGAGTGTATAAATAAGTATTATAGCGACTTTTGCAATAGTAGTTAACATTTGATGCTATTTTTTCAGAAAATAGAAAGATTTTGCACTGTATTGTTAGTGGACATGAAACTACTTTAAATACTGGTACGTTACTCACCAAAAACTAAAAATCTAAAAAAATTACATAGCGCCTTTGCAAGTGGACTCCTCAAATTTGGAAACATGGATTTCCACGGGTTTTGTTAAAGAATGAACTATATTTTTATTCAAAAAAAATAACAAAAGTTCAATAACAACAAATATAATACGTTAAAACTTGGCAAAAAGTGGTTCGGTTATAAGAACACCTACATCTTCCCCCCCCCCTTATATTTCAAAAAATTTTTAACTGATTTTTAAATGCCGTGGCTTGGTAACTCGGTCCCTAACATAACCCTGGTTTCAGAAAGCTTTCTTCGAAAGGCTGACGGATGGAAGACCTGACTGGCATCGACCATAAGTTACCACTGTTATAACAGAAACAGTAAGAAACACCCAGCTGGCTCAAGATGGATGAGCGGTCACGGTATGCTATTGGCTACAGCCAAAACAAAGGCCGTGCTGCTCACAAAGAAACGGATCCCAACAATTATAAACATGATGGTCGTACCTCAGCTCGTGACAACTTGTAGGTCTACAAGGTACATAGGAGTGAAGCTTGACAATAAACTCACATTCTGGGAAAACATGCATGGATTATGTGAAAAAGCTGCACAGAACACGGTCGCCCTTAGTCAGCTGATGGCGAATGTGGGTCACCAAAATCCATGCCGTAGGAAACTTTTTATGAGAGCAGTCCAGTCGGTGCTCCAGTACGGGGCACAAATATGTGCCGACGCATTGGCAGTCAAAAAATTACGGATTCAAATGACTTCGGTATTACGTAGAGCACTACGCATTGCTTCTGCATACCGTACAATCTACGCGGACGCTGTTCTAGTTATTTCTGGCGTCATGCGAATTGAGCTTCTTGCTCTCGAGCTCAATAATATTTACAATCTCAGTGCCGAGATAGGCGGAGTAGCTGCCGCGGCAAGGGCATGCGAGCAACTAATCCAGCAGTGGCAACAAAACTGGAACTCGAGCACAAAAGGTAGGTGGACGCACATCCTGATAACAGACCTTCAAACATGGTTGAAGCGACGGCCCGAGGAAGTCGATTTCAACCTCACAGGTCATGATTACTTCCGAGAATACCACCATAGGATGGGCAGGGTGAAATCAACATTCTCTCGCTAATGTGAAAATGTCGAAGATAATGAGCACCATACATTCTTTACCTGCGAGCACTACTTTGCTTCGCGCAGAATGTTGGCAGAAATAGACGGAGACTCAACTCCGAATAACATAAGGGGGGTAATGATCTCCAGTGTAGACAAGTGGGAAGCGGTCGCCAGATGCGTGAAATTCGTACTCCGCTAGAAATGAGAAGACGGATGTCTACTTAAGACACCCGAGTGAAATGCCCCTACAAGAGAGAAGACCTGAGGCTCTAGCAGTATGTTCCTGCATCTGAGGACATGCAGAGTTGCGGTGCCAGATACGGGGTTTTTGCCCGGGAGGTGGGAGTTTGTGTTGTAGTGGGTAACCCAACACCTTTCGGTGGGAGTCCAACACTCGGGGAAAAAAGAGGGTCTACTGCGAGCTTTTACAGATTTTTAAAAGATCGACAACAAGTTTGGTAGCGGATTTAACTGCAACACTCACTAAATCTGAGCATGCCGCTCCATGACCACTGCAGCGTATAAAGGTGGCCACCCTATGGCTTAGTAGCGTCGCACCTTCTCTACAGTCTGTTAGCATCTGACAGCCAACCAGAGATTAAATCTATATAGTGGATAAAAAAATTCCCAAAAGCGGCTGTAGGAGGACTTTGAAGCGCATTACCGTGGTATGAGTACCCGGGCAAAGTGGAATACCTGGAAGATGCGTGGCAGACGAACTTTCAAGGTGGGGAACGAACAATCTGCGAAGGACCCAACATGTTGCGTTACTAAGCAGATTTGGATAAGTATAAACACCTAATGGGAGTATGTACAGGAACAAGGAGGAGGTGGAAATTGTAGAGCACTATGTCTGACACTGCTCCGCTTCGGCAAGGTAACGTTATATTATTTTTAATAAATATCTATTACAGTGTTTAAGTGATCTCGACTCAGTGGACATTCGAGACCTTCAATGCTACGTTGAAGGAACTCGGAGGTTCTACCAACTCGGAAACTAATAGAAGGAACAAAGGGCTCGATAAAGTCACATAAAAATGAACCTACTAGCTTAAGAGCAACTCTCTGCCGGACTGTACGTAGTGGCAACCACCGAAATCTAACCTAACCAAACGTCAAGGTAATAATTGCACTTGACTAAGGTGAAGGAAGGGCTGTACAGTGGGTACCAGTGTGTTCTATTTTAAGCCCTAGAGGCTGTGAGCGTAGGTTCTAGAAACTATGTTTTATGATGGTTCCATATATTTCATTTATTGCATATAACCAGGGGTCTAACGTCCTCAAAATATTTAAATATATATATTTATTTTGATTCAATACTCAGAAGAAAGCATTTGCTCAAAACAAGAAAAAAGTATCCTCATTTTAGAGTTAGGCTGACTTCCAAAACGTCAATTGCTTTGCATACGTACATAGTATAGGGTTCCATAACGTCGAACTACAAAATATTGACACTGTATACTGTTCCAAACCGCAGCCGAAAAGTTATCGAAGCGCATCGCTAGAGCAATCAGCGCATCAGAAACAAAGTTGATGCTTTGTTTGTCATTGGTTAGCATTGGTGTATTAGAAATGTAAAATTCAGGAAAATTGTTCATTGCTATATTGAATATTTAAAATATGCAATGTATATGGTTGCAATGTGTCATAACTCTGCATAACCAATCAGTTTGAGTACCGCAGTATAACAGTTTCCAAACATTGTATTGATACGTTTTGGAAGTCAGCCTTACTGTTTTTTCCTTATTACTACAAAAAATTTATTAAATTTGGGAAGTTTTTCCTTAATTCAGTTCATAGGGCGTCATTAATTTGAGGAAGTAAATTGACTCAATATAAATAGTAATTTCATCAATATAAGTAATAATTTCCTTAAATAATTTTTAATTTTGTCAGTGCTGTTAAGACAAAGTTAAGTGCTTTCCTGGCAAATGTCGGATGTGGCGTCGCGTGAAGACTACTGCTTCTGGTTCTGAGATCGCAGGTTAGCGTCCGGTTGGAGGTGGTTAGAATAAGGTAAGTCGTTATTTCAATTTAAATATAAATTACAAATTGTAAAATTAATTTCCTATATGGAAAAACTTAAATACTCAAATACCATACAAAATGAATCGTATATATTTTTTTAATTACAATTTAAAAAATTTCAATTAAACATATAAAAAGTAAAAATATTAAAAAGAAAAATTTCTGCTCTGGGACTTGAACCTTGCATTTCTCGGCTAGCACTCCAGAGTTTTGCTCTGTCGGCCACTGCCACTGTCTGAGCGCCACGAGCAAAATGACATACTTATTCCTTTTACGGGGGATGAAATGGCAAGTAAATTTTTCCCAAAAACTAAGGAATTGTGTTTTCCTTAAACTGAGTCAAATCGTTTACTCATATTAAGGCAGCCATGTCATTGGAGACATTTCAAGGTAATATTTCCTTAGAATAATATTCTTTTTTGCTAGTATCAATGAATATTTTTTCTGGGTGAACGCGGCAGAAGTATTTTGTTTGCTGTTGTGTTGTCCCAAGAACGGACTATGAGTAATGAAGTTCGACGGTTTGTTCGATTTAAGATCTCCTAGACAGCAGCCATTGGTCGCGTAAAATCCGTGCCATTTCGGTATGAGGCACTGTTTTGGGTATAAAACACTGGGTCACTCCCAAAATTTTCAATAACAAAATTTGCGAACCTAAATAGATATTGAACCTTTTTATTACTTATATGTAGAAATTTAGCAAAAAATCGTTTATTCTCAACAAGTTTGATATATTAGGTCTGTCGGTTCGGCATTTAATTTATGTACATAGGTCAAGCAGGTAATTTGTTTAATTCAGGCATAATATAATCAAGACTATTAATTATTTGCAAGTAAACATTAATTAGAACGGCCAACATCAAAGGAAGATAATGGATGTCTGGGAGAAGTATTTTATAAGCCGTAACATGATGAGGTAAGGTGTCTGTGAAAAAATTCGTATATAAACAGGTTTTTGATACCACCCAGTGCGCTTTTCTATTTTAAAAAGTTTAAAATAGAATTTATTTTAGCACGCTTTTTGCGGCTACAAATTCTTTTTCGCTTCTGCTTTTATTTACTTTTTGTTGTGTAGTTGCAGATGATTCCCCCCAACAGCACCTTTTAAGTTTTTCCAGGTATCCCACTTCGGCATCCAGGTGATTTGTATCATTAATAATAGACGATGTACTTATTTCAGGTATAATATCATCCAGTATTTCCAACTCTCTGCGGGTAAACAACAAGTCTAAGACTTTGCGAATCCCAATCATAACAACCAACATCAAAGGGAAAAGAATGGATGTTTGGGGGAAAGATTTTATCAGCCATAATATGATGAGGCAAGCTAGCTGTATGGCTGTGAAGAGATGGACTCGTTTGATGGGAACCTGTAAGGAAAGAAATTTACTATTTAAAAGTTAAAAGAAACTGAGGTATTTTAGATGTTAAGAGACATACATACATAGCTACATTGGTATATACCTACCCATGTATGAATTTTGAATAAACTACACATATAAATACCTACATATATGTATATATGCCAGAGAAGGCTTCATCAAGTTAAAAATGTAATTTGCTTCCTCTCTTTCCAACCGTTTAGAGCGTGATCAAAAATGTTTTCATCAGTTTTCTCTTCGACCTTTTAACTTATTATACTCTTATCATTCTCGGTGCCTGTTAATTAGCCTGGATACCCCGAAAATAGGAGACCTTTTAACGCGCTAACTTTTTGCTAAACTCATAAATAAGTCGATTGATTGCGCCTCCCTTCTAGATAAAATTGCATTCAATGTCACTTCCGGAATACTTCGTCGTTCGGAATTCTTTAATATTATAGTACATGTGCAGAATTAGGTACGGTCTTCAATTATGGTGATTTCATGCAACCTTGTACCATTTTAATCAACTACCTATGTCAATTCTTTTCCCAGCTACACCAATAGCCATTTATTGCTCGTGTGCTACATTTTATTTGTACGTTAGTTTTACTTTAACGTTAATTTCTAGATAGTTTAAGATTTATACGTAGTCTGTAAGACTATTTGTATTCAAAAACTTGAAGTAAATAAAAGACCTTTGGTTTTTCGTAATACCTCTCAACGATAGCTTGATGGTAAGAGAAGGAGGAAACGCTCCTGAAGTCGCCGCGCTTCGAATTCTTCCCACGACTTCCATTGCCTACGATCTCAGATGATAACATTGAAGCCTACTTTTGTTCACTGCGCCGCACCGCTGGTCCAGCTCTTAGTGAACCCATCTTGCACGATATCTTGGTAAGTCGCTTACCGCCTTACACACAAGCGGCAATCATCACATAAAACGTTTCGATTGTCGAAAAAGTAAAAATCGCGTTCTCTATAACTGAGTGTTTCCCATTAAAGGAGGCTAGCACTGAAGCTCCGCAGTCACATGGAATTTCTAGCCTGCGAATCGAAATTGCCGCTCTTTCCAAACGAGTAGGCATGCTGATCGACAACGGCAATGTTAAAAATCGAAATCGTGCAAGATCATCGTCACGCTCCAGTGCAGTGGTATTTATACATATGGCAAAGTTATTTTAAGTTTTAATCTTAATCTGCGACGTGAGTCTCTGTGGAGTTTTATTATAGCAGACGTATCACAAGCTATACTGGGTGCAGATTTCCTAGGACATCACGGACTAATTGTCGACCTTAAGGGACGGTGGGTCATTGACCGCACCACGCTACTAAAGCCTGAATGCTTGGTAACGCATTTAAAAACATCAAATGTTTCTATGATAAACACCGCGCAAAGCTTATCTGATTTTCGAAGAGAGTTTTCTGAAATGACGTGCCCAAAACCTATCGGTATTCGAACGAATACATCCGTTGTTCACCGAATCAACACGACTGGTCAACCAACCTATGCTCGGCCGCGACGTCTATCGGCGGAACAACTTGTAGCTGCACGAGAAGAATTTGAGTCTCTTATTAAACTGGGAATTAACCGTGCATCGTCAAGCAACTGGACCTGCATTTAGTAAGAAAATCCGATAGATCGTGGAGACTCTGCGGCGATTATAGAGCGCTAAAAGCTATAACGATTACCGATCTTAGAGGATTTTTCCACCCTTTTAGAAGGAAAGACAGTGTGCTCTAAAATTGATTTGCAAACTGCTTTTCACCAGGTGCTGATTCACCCGGACGATATTGCCAAAACCGCCATAATAACCCCATTTGGGTCATATGAGTTTACCTGTATGACGTTTGGGTTGCGAAATGCTGCACAAACGTTCCAGACAATATTTGTATCGCATCGAATTCCGTTGGGAGATGTTCGTTTGAATTTCAATCGTTTAAAAAATTACAACCTGACAATTAACGTAGCTAAGTCGCAGTTTGGAGTATCCGAGTTGAAGTTTTTGGGACACTCCATCACAAAAGATGACACTTGGCCCTTGCCAAGCCGCGTCGAAGTAATTACGCGTTTTAAGTTTCCAGCCGTGGCGAAGGAATTAAAACGTTTTTTAGCAATGCTTTCGATTTTTTCGAAAATTTTCACCGAAGTGCGGTATAGTACATACGGTCTCGAGCCGGCGGCGACGTACTTTGCGATCCGCCACTTTCGTTACATGATAGAAGGCCGTAACATTCTCACCATCGTATTTCGTCAAGCTTTACATAAAGTATGAGATCGGCAAGTGAGACAGTTGGACTTCATTTCAGAAATAACAACTGATATTCGACATGTGAAAAGCGAAGAGAACGTCGCCGCTGATCTTTTATCAAGCATATATTCTCTTACGGCTTGACCTATTAATTACGATGAACTTGCCGATGACCAAATCAACGATGATGGTTGAACTCGTGTTTAAAGGGTAATATTTACCATTCGCTTAAACTGAAAAGTTTTATACTGCATTTCAGTTCCAAGAAGGTTGTTTGCGACATCGCGACAGGCCCTTTCGTCATGAAGAAGTGTCGTAATCAGTTTCTTGACGCAACACACAACCCTTCGCACCCTGGAATGCGCGCTACAGCTAAACTGATGGTGCAACGATTTGTATGGCCTGGAATTCAGCACGATAGCAAGATGTTTGCCACAACCTGCGTTCAGTGCCAACGGAATAAAGTTACTCGTCATGACACGACTTTGCACCGTATTGAGCCCCCCACGACAATGCTTCGGACATCTGCGCATCGACATTGTGGGCCCATTCCTACTGTCGGATGGCAACAGGTATTGCTTGATGGTGAAGGATCGCTTTACACGATGGCCAGATGCGTTTCCGACACCCAACATGAGAGCGGCAATAATTGCTAAAACACTCCTCGGCGGATGGACCGCAACTATTGACATCACGTCAGACCTCGGCCGCCAATTTGAGAGCAAGTTATTCCGCGAGCTGATGTAATGCGTTTGCGTTTCGCACCTGCGTATTACACCCTACAACCAACAGCCGAACGGACTCATAGAGAGTTGGCATCGTTCCTTCAAAAGTGCAATTTTGTGCCATACGCTCAGCCTTTAAGCTGATTTGGGCTGTACACCTGCTGAACTAGTGTGTGGAGCCACTCTACGACTACCATCAGATTTTTTCGTGGCACACCCGGACAATATGAAAGAAGCAGAAATGGTAAAGGAGTTCCGCAAAATCATGAACGAACTACAGCCAGTATACACCGCTTGGCATACCCTCAAGAAAATCTTCATTCATGCTAAATTGGATTCATCTGACAATGTTTTTAGCAGGAATGATTCCATCCGCCCGTCTCTATCAGCGCCTTACAGAGGACTATACAAAGTCTTGAGTCGAAATGCGAAATACTACTTCGTCGAAGTGAATGAAAACAGAATCAAGGTTTCCATCGATCGTCTCAAGCCCGCTTTCATTACGCCTCCTACAACTCTCTAGGATGGTGATATTGTGTTGTGTCCTCACCATTAGCGAGAGCTAAGTCACGTAGTCTGTCTTCAACCTTAGATAGATAGATTAAGTAGAGGTATGCACTGCGACCAAATGATCTATTGTGCCCTCGACTGTTTAGAGTACCTCATCTAGTCCCAGAGAACCCAAAAATTTAAGGAGATCTCCGGGGGCTAGCGATTGTAAGACTTCATCGCTTGGCCAGAGTTGGCCCAGGTGTCTCTCCCGTCTTCTCGCAACTGCCTCGCATTCGCGAAGCAGATGCAGAGGGGTCTCCTCAGCCACATCGCAGAACCGACATAGGTCGTTAGACCAGATCCCCAACCTGTGCAGGTGACCTCTCAGTCTGCAGTGACCCGTCAGAAAGCCTGTCAATATCCTTACCCTTTCTTTGGGAAGGTTTATAATTGCTCTATACCTTGTATGGTTGTAACCTCCCAGTAGGCTTTTAGCCTGGCGTTGGCCTGCCGTATTACGCCAGTGCTGATTCCTTACTGTGTTCCTCTCCTTCCTGAGCTCTTCCTTGATTGTACTAGGTCCAACCGCTATGAAGGGCTCAGACCCTATAGGCAATGAGGCGGCTGCCTTCCTAGCTAGTCGGTCTGCTTCCTCATTGCCGACAACTCCTACGTGACCTGGCACCCAAGTTAATTGGATGTCGTTGTACTCCGCCAGGGCGTTGAGCTTATCAATACACTCAAGAACCAGAGAGGACTTGACCTCAAATGATAATAGGGCCTTGAGTGCTGCCTGGCTGTCGCTCATGATCAAAATCCTTTCATTACGATAGTTCCTACGCAGGTTAATCTCTGCACACAGACTTATGGCATAGACTTCCGCTTGGAAGATGCTTGGGTATACGCCCATGGGTACCGAAAGCTTTAGCCTTGGCCCGTGAACGCCTGCCCCAATACCTTCGGGAGTTTTGGAGCCATCTGTGTACCATTGCATTGAGCTCGCTTGTATCTGCCTCTCCAAAAAAGAGGTGCTCCAAGTCGACTTGGTGCAAAGCGCTATTTTGAATCTTCTGTCAAAGCTAACTAGTTTGGGCCTGTCGTCTCTGGGGAACAGAGCTAATGGAATTTGGGAGCCTAGCTTGTCCCTGTACCTCGATGGTAGGATTTTACCTTTACCAAAGCCTTCTCTTGCGAAGTTCAATAGAGTTCGCCTTGCTGCCTGTTCAATGGTAAGGTGCAGTGGCTCGAGCTCCAGAATCACCTCTAGCGCCGCCGTCGGGCATGTGCGCATTGCCCCCGTAATGCATACACACGCCAGACGTTGAAGCTTAGCGAGGGATTGTCTCACCGTTGCGAGGGTGGTCCTCGATACCCACGCCACTGCCCCATAAGTAACTATTGGTCTAACTATCATGGTATACATCCATCTTAGGATCTTGGGACTGCAGCCCCAAGACTTCCCAGCCAGACGTTTGCAAACCATTAGTGCCCTCGTGGCTTTGGATGTGGTCGCGTCGACATGCGCCTTCCACAGAAGCCTGGAATCTAGTGTTAGTCCTAGGTACTTGACTTCGGTGGCGACGTTGACGGCGACCCCATTCAAAGTGATGTTCCTCATACCTGGGAGTGTTCTTCTTCTAGAAAAGGGGACGATAACGGATTTGGAGGGGTTGATGCTCAGGCCCATACTCAAGCACCAGCCTCTCGCAAGGTTTAGTCCCCTTTGAACTATATCGCATAGAGTGCTCACGAACTTCCCCCTGGCAATAATCACAATGTCATCCGCATAACCTTGACAACGGATGCCATTATCAGTGAGGATCTGTAGAAGTTCGTCCACAACTAAGCTCCACAGAAGAGGGGATAAAACTCCTCCCTGTGGGCAACCTCTTGTAGTTTGTAGCTGTACTACGCCGTCCCCGATGTCGGTTTCAGCTATCCTTGTGTTGAGTAACCTGACTATCCACCTACGGATGGTTGCCTGTACGTTACGTTTTTCAAGCGCCCGGTCGACACTACCGTGAGAGGTGTTGTCAAACGCCCCCTCAATGTCGATGAAGGCACAGAGTACTGTCTCCCCACACTCAAGAGCACCTTGTATATCCGTGGACAGGGCGTATAGTGCAGTGTCCGTGGACCTGCCCACTCTGTAGGCATGTTGGTCGGGGTGCAAAGGCGCTACCTTAAGGGTGTTGTTCCTAATTTCATGGTCGATGACCTTCTCCATTGCTTTTAGCAGAAAGGAGGTAAGACTTATCGGCCTGAAGGACTTAGCGAGAGAGTAATCTCTCTTACCTATCTTCGGGATAAATATAACCCGAGCTCTTTGCCACGCCTCGGGGATATGGGCAAGCGCTAAGCTCGCCCGCATGATGTTGACGAGGTGTGGCAGTAGGAACTCCTTACCTTGCTTCAGCAACACTGGACAGATGCCATCCACCCCAGGGGATTTGTACCGATCAAAGGAGTCCAAAGCCCAGCAGACCGATCGGTGGGTGATTAGTCTTCTGGCCAGCTTCCAGTCTGCAGGGGATGGCCTAGTTCTTTGGTATGGCACCTCCCTCGTGGTCGGAGTGGCATCCGGGAAGTGGGCCGAGAGCAGGGCAAGCGCCCTCTCTTTTTCGTTCCCTGAGTAGGTACCATTAGCTAGCCGTATTGCTAGTTTGGTGTCAGTATGATCCCTCGCCAGGGCCTTATGTAGTCTCGCGGCTGCAGGAGTCGATGTGATGTCCTCGCAGAACTTCCTGAAGCTGCCCCGTTTGGCTTTCCTGATCTCTTTACTGTACTTAGTTAAACTGGCTGAATACTCCGCCCAAAGCCCTGTACGCTTTGCCCTGTTAAAAAGTTTTCGTACCTGCTTTCTGAGCACCGATAGCTCCCGAGACCACCAGCTGGGCTGAGCCTTCCCTTTTGGTTTCGCCTCAGGGCAGCTGGAGTGAAAGGCATCCATTATGGCGCCATTCAGTTCGTTAACGGTGCTCTCTAACCTCATATGATCGACGTGCCTGTTCTTGGACTGTATTACAGTCAAGTTTGATTTTAAATTTTCGCTGTATCGTTCCCAGTCAGTTTTCCTGGGGTTTCTAGTTGCTTGGTTTGTTCTCGCCTCCGCTCCCAACACAAATTGGATAATCCTGTGGTCCGATAATGAAGGTTCCGACGAGACCCTCCATTGGGTGACCAGAGGGCTAGCCAATCTGTTGCTGAGCGTAACGTCCAGTACTTCTTCCCTAGCCCTCGTAACAAATGTCGGTGTTTGGCCAACATTGTGGATGCTAAGTTCCTCGCTTAAAATGTACTCTAAGAGACACTCACCTCTGCGATTTGTGTCCGTGCTGCCCCATTCAACATTATGGGCGTTCGCATCGCACCCCACTATAAGATGGAGCCGTCTCCTCCTGCAGTACTCCACTAACCTCTGTACCTCTTGTGGTGGGGCATAGCTGCTGTCCCCCGGAAAGTAGGCCGCAGCGAACACCACCTCTACGTTGCTATCGCAAATGGTCAGCGACGTCTGCACTGCGACTAGGTCCTGTGTTAAAAATTCTGTAATGCAAAAGTAATCAATATTTTCTTTAAGCACTACACACGCTCTGGGCCTCTCGCAGGAGAGGTCCCAAATTACCTTGTTCCTTTTATGGTTGAGGCCCCTCACCTGGCCTCTGTAGGTCCACGGCTCTTGGATCAGTAGGATGCCCAGGCCATCCGTGGCAAACCTGCTGGTGATGACCGCCGAAGCAGCCACCGCGTGATGCAGGTTGACCTGGGCTACTGCCAAGAGTCGGGGATTCATAGGTGGAGCTCGTCCAGGTCGGAGAGCTGTAGTTCGCTCTCGTTCCGCTTATCAAGCTCTAGTCGCCTCAAGTCCAAACCTGATAGCAGCTCCTGCGTTGAGGGCACGTGTTCCGCTGAGGTGGTGGTAGCGGTATGCCCGAGCGTGCTTGCGGGAGCTGGTGTTTCTGCAGGTGGTGGCTGCTCCGCCGGTAAGCCCGAGGTCGACTCGGCCGTCTGGGCAGCAGAGGAACCGGCGACCACGTCGATTTGAGTCTCCTGCGCCTCCGACTCCTTGCTGCCTGTCGCCTTTTGTCTCCACGGTCTTACCGTGACGAAGCTGAACCTGTAGTTTAGGTTGAAGCCAGCCCTCTTAATACTGACGTAGGACTCCTCATCAATACCTAGAAACAGCCTGAGCCCGTTTTCCTCAGTGGTGCTGGACACTACTTTCCACGCAGAAGTGTGGATACCCTCGTTCTGCGCTTTCAGTAGCCCCAGCGCAAACTCGGCGGATTTGTCGGCGCTCCTTGGGAGGAACACCGTGATGTTGTGCACCGGAGGGATATCGTCCCCTCTCTTCGTGCACATCCCGGGTCCCTTCCAGCCCTCAAGTGCTGGTGCCTTCTCAGCCAGCCAGGTTGCTGTCTTCTCGTCCCTGCAATCAACGAGAAGCATACCGGACCTGAAATACACCCCGCAGAAAACCAGCGGGTGCGACCAACCTTTGAATACCTCCTCCATGATGGCATCTTGGAGTCTGGTTAGGTCCTCCGGGCTCAAGGCAGCAGCAGGGTACTCACACGGTAGCACAGCTACCCGGATGCCTTTGAGGGTCTCCGAGTAACTGGGCTGCTGAGTGGCGCTCTCCTGCACCTGTCCCTGCCCGGCCGGCCCAGCCAGGCTCTTAGGCCATGAAGTCGGAGTAGGTGGCTGATCCCGCTGCCGTTTGGTGCTAGGTGTCTCAGGCGGAGTGATTTGGTTGCTCCCTCTCTTGACTGCGTCCCCTTTGTTATAGCCAGGGGGTTCCCCGCTTCTCCGCCATCCGGCGGGCGCGGGTCTGTGCTGCTGTTGTTGCTGTGGCCCGCTTCTCTGCTTTGCAGCAGGCGCGGGTAAGTGTACCTGTTTATTGGGCCCGCTCTTCCACCTATCGGCAGGTGCGGGTTTGTTGCCTTTGCTGCTACGCTCGTTCTCAACCTCCATTCTGACGCTGGCCATGGCTCTGGCCTCAACTGGGGGCTTGCCCTGTTCCAGGTACCGAAGGTACCACTTGACCCCGGAGCCGCTCAAACCTTCGCGGTGTCGGTCGTCCAGAGCCCCTGGCTGACCTGGCAGAGGCATCGGAGGAGGTTTGGCCCTGCGGTTTTTCTTCTTCCTCTGCTTCTGCCAACCAGACTCGTCAGAAGTAGCGGAGGCGTTGCTGCTGGGAGACCTGTGTCTACCTCTCCCTTTCCGGTTATCGCTGTCAGAGCGGCGCCGACTCTTTGAGCGCTCCCGGCTTTTTGAGCGGTGACGACTCTTTGAGCGCTCCCGGCTCTTTGAGCGGTGACGACTCTTAGAGCGGCACCGACGGCTTGAGCGATGCCGACTGTTGGAGCGGTGACTGCCCTCGGTACGGTGGCTGCTTCCTGATGTCGCTGTTACTGTGTGCCTGTAAAGAGAACTGCCGGACCGGTGTTGCGGCCGATCTAATTCGGCAGATGAATCATACAAATCTAACACATCTTGATTTGCGAAAGTACCTTTTTTGCCCCGTGCCTTGCTACAGGACGCCTCTGCACTGGTGCCTGGCCGTTCGTCATCCCTCGCATGCTCGATGAACAGCGATGCTTCTTCTACTGTCAGCTTGTCCAAGAAGCTGCTCTTGCGCTTGGCGCTCTTAGAGCCTTCTAGCGTGCTGCTGCTTGGCGTTGCTGGTGTACCTGTAGCTTTTACTGTTACTGCTGATGCCGTTATGCCCACCGCCGCTGGTGGCGCGGGTGCTGTGGTAGATGTTGTTGTTGCTGTTGTTGTAGCTGTAGTTGCTGTTGTTGTTTTGTTTTTTTGGTTTTTTGTTGTTTTTTTGTTTGTAGTTGTGCTCATCTTTTTCGTACGACCGCCTGCTCGACGAGGCGAGCTCAGCAGTCTAATGTTTTGAAGGGGATCTTCAAAGTCCGCCGCGCCAGCGCCCCTTGTCGCGGTAAGGCCACCGTTACTCCCCGATGCGGCCTGGTGTCGGAAAGGCGCCGTTCTAATACAGCCGGATTATTCCCTCCTGGCTGCAAACCGTCCAATAGGCACGGTGTCGCTTAACACCCTGGATTAGGAGGTGGCAGTTCTTGGTCACTGTTCTCCAGCGGCCTGAATCTGGAGGGAAGGTAGCGCGGAGGCTGCCGCATCCACGTTACCTCAGACCAGAAGAAGACCGGTTGGAGATTCAGCTAAGCCCCCGCACCAACGGCAAAGTGCCTGCCCTAGCGAGGGGTCTTCAACCTTAGTAAGAGCTTTATTATCGAGCTTATCTTTGTTTTGTCATTCTATTGTCAACTTAAAATGTAAATTATTCATATTACTTCCTAGATCCTAAAACACATGTTTCTTGAATAAATTTTGGTTGACACCAGTGGCGTAGCCAGAATTCGGCGAAGGGGGAGGGTGGAAAAATGGCCACACCTGGACCCTTAAATTTTGGAGCAAACTTGTCATTCATTCCTATCGTCGTATCAACGTTCCTTATAACGACAAACTCACCGACTTCGTCTCTTCGTACTTCGAGAAGTAATTTTGATTATACTCTGCAGCATTTTCGATAGCTTCATTGGCTCCAGCCCGGGTTTTGTCCGCGTGTGCCGTCCAAACTAAACTTTTCAGCAAAATATTCTGAAAATTCGTCTATGAGCTCCCCCTCTGCTTGACCCCAAAGAGAAGCATACTAGGGATTTCTTGGCAGTACTATGGTTGAAGTTGTTAATCGCGTATTCTACTTGTGCAATCCGGTTCGACCAGTCGGCGTGATCGATGGGGTCGGCAAGCTTTACTAGCATGACTTTGATCACCCTATTAGCCCTTTCCACCTGTCCGTCGGCTTGAGGGACTCCACCGCTACCTTTACGTGGGCTATGTTAAGCTTAAGCAGGGATGCGCTGAATTCCAGGGAAGTGAAACATCTGCCGCGATCTGAAATGATTCGCCTAGGTCAGCTGTAGTAATTTATTTAAGTGCTTATCTAAGGCGCCGGTGACCTCCCGGGTACTGGTCGAATTAGTTGGGTATAATTTTACAAACTTTGGGAAAGCGTCAGCTACTACCAGGATGTATTTCCTCTTGGACCGCAATGACGGTAAGGGGCTGAAATGGTCAATGTGCAAGGTATCAAAAGGCTTAGGCTCTTTTGGTATATTATACAATTTTCTTTCTTGCGACGCCAGCGGCGCCGCATACATGATGCACTTCAGGAAATTTTCAATAAACCGTGTCACTTTCGAACGTAGATTAGCATCCAATAAAGTCTATTAATTTTGTCGCATGTCTTGTCGATTGGCTGGTGCCCTACTTTCTTGTGCGCTAGTCTAATGACGTTGTCTTCCATTTCGCCTGGTAAACAGAGCAGCCTACTCCCGTCTCCCCGTAGCTTACATACGAGTCCACCCTGCAAGCCAAAGTCTTTTACCTTCCACGTCAACAGTTTCTCACGAATCTCTTTTAGATTTTCGTCCCGCTCTTGAGATACCTGTATCCGAAATTCTACGTCGACCGTGTCGTAATCCACCCCCATAACACAGCGGCTTAGGGCGTCTACGTGTCTCATGGAAAGCGCCTCTGCGATGTACAACTTTATAATTATAATTCTATAGTTCCAAAGTCGACCTGGCTATGCTAGCATTAATTTGTTTTCTTTCGAGAGTCAGGGCACGGGAGTTACAGTAAGTTACTATCTTGAAGGGGATCCCTTGTAAATACGGCCGGAATCATCGTAGGGCATATACTATCGCCAGCGTCTCCAACTCGAAACTTTAGCATTTCGCTTCGGCGGCTGAAGTGGTTTTGGAGAAATGTGCCACAAGGTGCATTTTCTTATCGTCTTGTCTTTGCAGTAGGACGGCCCCGAATCCCGCTGCGCTGGCGTCGCAGTGTAACTCGGTCTCTCGCAGTGGGTTGCAGATTGACATCACCGAGGCCCTCGACAGTTCCGATATTAACCTTATGAATGAGTCTGCTACGCTCTCGTCGTCAAATAAAAAATGGTGTACGCTTTTTCAATAAGTTCAGCAAGGACCTAGCGATTTTGGTGTCATGGGTGTGTAACTCGCTTAACGTGATTCCGGCGGCGGATACTGAGTAGCCCACATATTCTATTTTACTGTAACCGAATTTGCACTTCGATAGATTTGGCGTCGGACCTCTTCGTCTTATGCGGTCTAATACCGTTCGATTCTTCCAGAGATTTCTTTGTCGCTACTATAATATCGTCCATATATATTATGATTTTCCTAGCTTCGATGAGATCACAAAAAATATTATTGATGAACATTTGAAACACGGCTGAAGCGTTTTTAAGCACAAACGGCATTTTGAGAAATTTATACTGTCTGCCCGGGGCAACAAAGGAGGTATATTTAACGGAATCTGGCGAGACTCCAACCTGATGAAAAGCGTTCTTCAGGTCAAGCACGGGAAATACCTTTTTACCTTGTTGTCGCGGACAGTGATTTTATTTAAGCCGCGGTAGTCAACACAAAGGCGCAGCTCCCCTTTCTCTTTTCACTAAGAGGGCGTATAACGCCTCGTGTCCCTATAACTTTCACAATGTCTTCCACGGCTGTGCGTTCCGCGAAAGAGAGCCGACGAGGAACACAGTGGAAAGGTACGCCTGAAGTTAGGTGGATTCTTAATTTATATTCGTACAGCTCTCTTAATTCTTCTCGGCAGGCTGACCCTAAAGTGAGATTAATATCTATGTCGGCATCTCCACTACAGACCTCTATGTTAAAAATATCTGACACTTCTAAGGTTAGACTTTCGCGGCAGGCCGGCCCCAACGGACGGTTAACATTTACATCAACTTCATCAATACCCATTTCAGAATTAACAAGTAAGAAAGTCTAAGTTCGGGCGGAGCCGAACATTAAATACCCGGCGCAAGTATTAAAGATATGTTTTCCACCTTGCCGAAAGCTACCGCTACATGATAAGCCGGGGTGTATACATTTTAAGTAAATTAGCGTCCCTAAATTTCGACATATTGAAATTTCAAGCATTTCTGAAATTTATTGTTATATGAAAAGCGGCCGTAATTTAAGACCGATTTCAACAATTTTCAACGGTTTGCTTTTATGTGGCAAGCACAATAATCATACCGAGTTTGGTAAAAACTGCTAGAACGGTTAGCGAGATACATATATGTAATCACAAGTGGGCGGTGCCACGCCCATTTTCCAAAATTTTATCATAAGCGTATTTCTTGGTAAAGAATTGTTGCAACCATCAATTTTGAATAAATTAGCTTTGATATTTACTGATTTATCGAAGATTTTGTATTTCTCGAAATTACCGTTATATGGAATGTGGGCGTGGTTATTGTCCGATTTTAAAAAGTTTCGGCCATTTGGTATGCTGTACCAGGACCAACAACTGTGCCAAGTTTGGAAGAAATTTGTGCAGCGGTTACCAAGATATACTCATGTAACCATAAGTGGGCGTGGCTACGCCCATTTGCCAAAATTTTAAAATATTCTTATTTTTCGTCTAAAACTCATTGTAAATATCAATTTTGAGTGAATTATGTTCAGTAGTTACTAAAATATCGCAGTTTTCGTATTTCAGAAAATTACCGTTATATGGGAGGTAGGCGTGGTTATTGTCCGATTTTTTAAAGTTTTCGGCCATTTAGTATGATGTATCAAGGCCAAAAACTGTGCCGAGTTTGGAAGAAATTGGTGCAGCG